AGAAAGTAAGAAAATCAGAACAAGGGAAAAATAAGAGCAAAAAAGTAGGATAAAGTCAGTGTGAGGATAATAAAAAAATGCATTCAGTGCCTACTAAGTGCCACGTACTTACGAGGCATCACAGAGTGATGAACAAAACAGAAATGGCCTGTGCCTTTACAGCATTAGCAATCTGATACAGAAAATAATTGATATAAAGTAAACAGCTACGTAATTATCAAGGGGGGACAAGTCTGTTTCATGCGAGGCAGGGTGGGGAGAACCCCAGTTAGAAGGGGTTGTATAGAAAGCTTCTCCAAGGAGGAGACATATTTCATCTGAGACCAAAAGCACGAGCAGGATGTAGTCAGGGAGGGGCTGGGAGAAGGTTCCAGGCCCAGAAACCACATGTGAGCAGCATGGCTTGGGCCAGTGACAGCTCTCCGGGGAGGCCAGCACGACTAGAATGTGGCGGTGGAGAGAACGCAGGGAGATGTTCTCGGAGAGAGGGCAGGGCCAGGCCACCTGGCCTCATAAGGTATGATGAGGAATTTAGATTCTCTTTAACATGAGACGGGACACTCTTGGAGAGTATTAGCAGGAAAACAGCATGATTTGATCTGTAATTGTGAAAAATCTGGCTGATTTGTAGAGAATAAATTAGAAAAAGGCAAGAGTTGAAGGGACAAATTAAGAGGTTATTGTAGTGGTTCAGGCGAGAGATGGTGGTGGCTTAGCTTAGGGTGGTGCAGTGGCCACAAAGTGATGTGGATGGATTCTAGATACATCTTACCCATCAATAGGACAGAACAGCATGAGGGACTGGAGGTGGGGGTGGGGGTGGGGGTGGAGGAGAACAGGGAATCCAGTGTCTGACATGAACAACTGGCAGATGACAGGGCCGTTTACTGAGACAGGGAAGGTGAGGGAAACCAAAGGGTAGGCAGGGAAACGGTTTGGTGAGGAGACTCAAAATTTCAATTTTATGTAGTTAATGTTGAAAAAAAATGTGGTAGGCTGAATAATGACCCCCTCGAAAGATGTCCTAATCCCTAGAACTTGTGACTGTATTATCTCACATGGCGAAAAGGACCTTTGCAGATGTGGTTAAGTTAAGGGTCTTGGGATGGGGAGATTATCCTGGATTATCCGGGTGGACCCGGTGTAATCACAGAGTCTTATAAAGGGTCTTTATAAGAGTGAGGCAAGAGGATCAAAGCCAAGGGGAGAAGATACAGGGGCAGAAGCAGAAGTCGGGGGAGAGAAGATGCTACGCTGCCATCTTTGAAGATGGAGGAAGGGCCGCAAGCCGAGGAATCCAAGGAGCCCCCAAACGCTGGAAAAGGCCAGGAAAGGGATTCTCCTCCAGCACCTCCCGAAGAAACACAGTCCTGTCAACACCTTGACTTTAGCCCAGTGAAACTGATTTCAGACTTCTGATCCCCAGAACTGTAAGATAACAAATTCATGTTGTTTTAAGCCATGAAGTTTGTAGTAATCTGTTATAGCAGCCATAGGAAACTAATGCAAAGTCCATGAAATACAGTGGTGGAGATGTGAAGAAGGCACTTCTTAGAGCTGTGGCACAATTGTGGCTCTGAGCTTCCTAGCAGCCAATGAAGAGGGGGAATATAATCTGGCACACATTACACTGTGTTCCTAAAATGAAAGCAAGCCATTTGCCTCTGAGAAGTTTCCCCTATAAACCTTCTGGAGGAAAACACTGTGTGATACAGTGAATATTGTCCTCCCAAACCATCCACAAATTCCAGTAAGACAAGGATCCCTGCCTTAAATAGTTGTACAATATAGGACAGAGAAAAAGACATATGCTCAAGGAATTTCAATGCAGAGATGGGAAGTGTCTTGGAAGCACCAGTAAGGGTGATAGTCCCACCTTATCCGCAAAATTTATGAATTGTTTATTTCTGGAATTTTCTATTTAATATTTTTGGACCACAGTTGACTGTGGGCAACTGAAACCATGGAAAGTGAAACCACAGATGACTAGTAAGGCCAGTATTTGAGCCCAAGCAGTAGCTCATGCTCTTAACCATGATGTTATACTGAACAGTTACTGTGTATGGGCACTAAATTACATGCTTTATATATACATGGTCTCATACAATATTCATAATCTTGTAAAGAACAATTACCACCACCCTTTTTTTTTCTAAAACAGGGAGGGCACTGAGCCTCTGAGGGATTGCATATCTTGTCCATGTCAAATGCCCAGTAAATTGTAATGCCTTTCTGACCTGGGTCATTCTCATCCCAAAGGCTGGGTACCAACCTGGAGTCCAAGCAGATAGACTTTATTTTAACCCTTCCATCTGCAGGAATTAGTCCATTCCGTGTCATAATGAGAAAATCAGGAGATCCTAATTATCTCTATAATATAGATTTAAAAACCAGGTAAGAAAGGAAAAAAGGACTTACCCAATAAGCAACGAACCAGGAGAAGGGTTAGAAAAGGAATGACCTTCCCACCCCCAATTTATCTCCACCTGAACACAGAGCGCCCAGATGTACAAATCATGTCACTTTTAGGGAACCAGGAAGAAAAACTTTCACATGAGTGGCCCTCAATCCCCTTGCTGGACTGCGTTAGCAAAAGACTACCCACCCCTGTACTTTCTTCAGCCACAGAAATTCTTTTTTATGCATTATGTATTGGGCTGCCATGGAACTTTTTGTTAGGAAAAAAAAGAGGTGGGAGAGTGTTCTCATATTTTAAAAATCAGACACAAAAATTTTTTAAATAAGTTTTAAAATTCCTGGACCATATGATGGCTAAGATATTTCCCAGCTCTAACAATCTGGCATTCCCTCTGATGAGTATTGATGGTGTTGCCGTGATTCGTGTTATTTTACTTACTCACAAGGGAGCAATTATTTTACACATTTTTTTAAAGAGCTCATAACACTTCATGGAAGCCTCATCTTCTTCAGATACGATATTCTGGCTTTCTATTATAGTGGATTACCGCTTTCTGAAT